TGAGTTCATGATTGAGTTCAAACTTAGTAACGCGCTGGTAATAACTCTGCATACGCAGCATGACGAGGTGAGCCAACACAACTTCCTGTTCAAAAGCTGGACGCTCTTTATGCTTCCTCCTAATTGATCTGACGACAGACACAAAATGTAGCCGAGTCCGACCGGATCCCATCTGATGCAAAGAAATGCCGATGCCACTACGAGGGCGATGATACAATTATTACCGGCAGCGCACAGGTCAATTTGAGAAGTTGCAGCATCAGCTTCCTCCCTCCACAGAGGCATCGCGCCCCACCACCTCTACCCAGTCATTAGCCTGAAAAGTGGCACTCGCAGTGGTAAATGACTGGTTCTCAAACTGCACCTTCATCACATCTTCAGTAAACCCAAAATTAACTGTTAAGGACCAATCCATAAACCGGCTCAACCTTTGAACCAGGATAAAGGACATTTAACAGTCACAGACATCATGATAGCCAACATGACTTCCAACAGACAAACTGTGGAGTAAAAACAGCGCAATTCGGTCTACTGTGCAGGTCTTAAGAAAATCTTTGTGTACAGTATAGCTCAAATACTAATGCCTAATACGGCCAAGGCTAAATCATAACACAACTTTGTGCATCTTCTGCAGCAATAGCAACCCGCTGGACCAAACTTAGCTCACCTCACTTCACATCACCGAACACTGACACACAACCACTAACATCCTATCTGGTCGCCGTCTCAAATGTATGCTGTAGTTAGTCACTTCCTTCTTTTCCACAACTCCTGGTGACACATCAGCATACCTCTGTTGATGCGCTAAAACCACACAACAGCTGTGGATCTGCTTCCAGACTGGTTTCTCAATGATGGAACATTTGGCTTCTTCTTGTGTGAGGGAATATTAGAGGACATCTCTACTGTTGAGCCAACATTGGACATAAGGGTCGCTCTGATTTAAGATCCACACGTTTACACAGTATACAGTTTATAAATCAAGTATTACATCTTGATCTTTATTGTCCAATATTGACAGCACAGCTCATAAAAATCAATTATATTGACTATATCTGTGATGCCTTTGGTAAATGTTTATTTTACATATATCCACAGCATGAGGTACTTTAGAGAAGAAGTAATGTTATTTTCCTCTGTTATGTTCTAATTATTATTTTAGGATATTGAGAGTGTCTATAACAGCATTAAGGGAGACTTTTCCATTCTATGCGTTACAGTTAACTTTGAAGATTTACAGCAGAGCTCATGCTCTTTGGGTCAAAATTTAAATTCTCTCCTGTGGGCCAGTTCACACCCAGATCCGAACGGTCTCGTGTTGTATATGACACTGTGATTGCTCAAAAAGAAGAGTGAGTTGCAATACTTCACAAGAGTTCAGTCGCGTTTTAGAAGGAAAAATGCAGATGTGGGGGACACACTGGCACAACTGCATCACCCCACACACACACACACACACACACACACACACAGAGATACAAACAAAGTTTGAAGACAGCTGTCTGTACTCGCAGGCCTTCTTACCCAAAAGCGTCTTCACCTCCTCGACACTCATGTATATGTTGACACTCGGCTGAATGTTGTTGACGCCAGAAGTGGTGCTCGGGTTGGCCAGGCCGCCAGCCCCTTCCAGCAGCAGGAGGAAGAAGAAGCCCCCCAGCCTCCACAGCACCGAGTGGGGCCACCCTCGGGACTCCGGCGGGCTGCCAGAGCCGTGAATCAGCTCCAACATAGCGGTGGTCGTCTGGCTCGCGGTCGTTCTCGGTGTTCCCCAGTCGCCAACGTCTTTCTCATCCGTATCTGAAGTTAATCCCGGGAGGCAACATTACTAGTTACTTTACGCCGCAGCGCCACTTTGACCCGTTCCCACTTTTCCACTAGCCTGTTTTTTTTTTTGTCCTTTCTTGCTAGCAGAGGCAGGCTAAGTTAGCCGGAGCGGGCTAACTTTCGTCGGACTGTGCTAACCGTCCTCGGTCGGACTCTCGTTGAATGTTTGAATGTTTGAAGGTTTACGACGTTTTCCCAGCTCATAAAACTCACACGGGATATCGCCACATTGAGGCGCTTTGATATGCGCAGGCAAAAGGGAAAGTAGGAAAAAGGTGCCCTGAAGTAGCAAACAAGCTAATACATCCAGTTTTCTCCCTCCATGGTCCTTCCTCCCGTCGCTCTTTGCTCACTATCTCAGTTTTCACTCGGAGCAGGGAGGGGAGGGGAGGGAGGGCGATGGAGGGAGAAAACTGGATGTATTAGCTTGTTTGCTACTTCAGGGC